GAAAAAGGTGAGCTACCTTCTCTACTGATTTTTTTAAAATGTAACGACACATTGAACTGTACGCCAATCTTATAAAGTTAAAGGTCTGAACGGGGATGTAGGGTGATGTAAAATGGCTGCCCGACTGAAATCCAGAGACAATAACTCATTCCGTCTTTCAGGTGTTTTCGTTTCCCGCTCAGCTGGACGGTGTCGGCGTTTGTTGCTTTTTCTTTTCTTTTTTTTCTTCTAGTGGCGATATATATGTAAGGTCCTTCATTCAGCCATCATCATCATCATCATCATGTTTTACATCTTTGATAAAAAATGTATTACTGCTGTTTTATGTTTGTGGAGCGAAAACACACCATGTTGTACTGGACTTGGTTTCAGATGGCCGTTGCTGTTGGTCGTGAATGGTGGTCCCCACTCTCCATATTTTTTTTGGGTCCCGTGCTGGTATCGATGAAAACATCGCCCTTCCTGTTTACTGGGCTTCGGATCGTCCTATCAGACGACAGGATGGAGGTCGTCAAGATCGTGACCTTCTACAACCTGGTTGTTGGAAGGTGTGCTGAGGAAACTTTTTTTTTTTAGCATTTTTACAAAAATCTGACTCTGTACCTTTAAAAAGAAAGAAAAGAAAAAGAACAATAAACTTCTTTGTCTTTCTTTTGTTAGTGTGCTACCCTGTGTGCGATGACCCTAGTCTTGTTTGTCAGTTCTCATTTCATGCTCATGACGGATCCCATGGTTCTCCACAGGTATGTGCAATAAACACTCCCATAGACAGGTGTCTCTGGTTACAGTCATTACTTTCTTGATGAGTCTCGAGTTCTCCTAAGCTGAACTTTTAAACGATGTGATAATTTAAATACTATTGATAGTAAATGGTTCCTGCTTTAAATTTATGTTTTTTTTTGTTTTTGGTTTTTCTAACTTAGAAGGCTCAACTTCTTAACTTTTACTCTGCTACTACTACTTTTTTTCATGCCCATGCCAAGTGGAAACTGGGACTGTTAAATGTTGCTAGTAGAAGTGAGACGGCGTCCCGATGTTAAACCCCCACCCACATCTCTTCTGTGCTGTGTGTTGTGTCTTTAGAAAATTCCCTCTTGCCTGCATGTATCACTGATTTCCACTTGTTGTAGTCAACCTGGAAAGGCCTGTATAAGGGAACATTTACAACATCTATAACAGCCAGAAGACCATCTCATCCATCTAAACCTGGATATCGTCTGCTGAGATGGGCGTTGACAGGATACAGGCTGCAATCGTCTGCTTGCGGGAAAGCTGAAAAATCATCATTGATTCTAACTTCATTTCAGGATAAAGTTTGAGTAATATTTCTACAACAAATAAAGCGAATATTTCCAACCACACCAATGAAAAGACCAAAAACTAACTAATTAAAATTTGATGCCCGAAAGAGAATCATTATCTTATTCCTCTGTTCCATACAGAAACGCCACTGTTGCTTAGAGAAGGGGGGGGGACTATAAAAAACACCATCTACAACTGCAATAATCCAAGTTTGAAGATTTGCAAACGTATTCAGACCCTTATTTCATGCTCTGTAGAAACCTCTTTGAGCTATTGAACCTCTACAAGCTTTACCACACCTGGAATCTTTGCCCATTCTGACCCAGCAAAGGGTCTGAATACTTTTATAAATAAGAAGATTTCAGGTTTATTATTTTGTTATTAAAGTTTTCTTAAAAACAGGTTTTCCACAATAGCATTGAGTTGAGATCCCGGTTTTATGCATTTAAAAATTAATTCTACAGCAAGTGAATCTGCAAAAAGCAGTGTGTTTGTTGAGACGTTGTTTGGAAAAAATGAAACATATTGGGAAACCACGAGCTTTCGAGTTGACAGTCGGTTTGTTGGTTTTGGGTCTTTTTCGTGGGATTTATTTACATAAGAAAACCATATAAAATAATGCTTCTCTTATCCTTTAATTAATAAATAGATTAATGAAACGAAATGGCAGAATTTGATTTTTTCAGAATTTTTTAATAAACTGGCTCGATGAAAAAACAAAGAAAGAAAAATATATCCAGAAATGTGTTTGACTTTATGGTTAATAACGGCCTGTTTCTGTGCTGCGCTGCAAGGAATGGCTTATCCAGAACTGTTTGTTTTCACTGCTTCTTGTTCCTGGTGTTTCTGATCATTATCCCTATTTTTCACGCCGCTAACATCATCGTCTTTGAAATCGCAGGGAAAGGCATGGTGAGTCGGCAACGTCACAAATGTAGCCTCTATTCTTTTTAATTACATGATCAGAAACAGAGATAACTTCTTCTTTTTTGTTTTTTTTCCTTTCCATCACTGTGGTTTGTGACGTCTCAGGCCTGGCCTGGGCTCACACTGACAACTTTGGTGAAGTGCTTCAGCATGTGACTGCCAGTTTGCTTTTCATCAAAAAGGAAGCTGGAACAAAAAGAGACTTGAAACCACAGGTATGAGAAGCTGGCAAATTAAGGTTTCTTTTGTTGCTGCTGATCAGAATATAATTTAGAATATAATATTGCCGGCTTCTCATACCTGTGGTTCAAGTCTCTTGTTCCCAGCTTCCTTTTTGATGGAAAGCAAACTATGGCCAGTCACCATGCCTGTGAAGCACGTCACCCAGTGTCAGATTGTGACCCAGGACAGGCCTGAGACGTCACAAACACAGTGAATGAAAGCGAAAAAAAACAAAAAAGAAGAAGTTATCTCTGTTCTGATCATTAATTAAAAAGAATAAGAAGCTACAGTGACTTTGCCGACTCACCATCCCTTTCCCTGTTCCTGCGATTTCAAAGACGATATGTTACCGGCCCGTGAAAAATAGGGATAATGATGTCAGAAACACCAGGAACCAAGAGAAGCAGATGAAAAACACAACAGTCTGGATTGGCCATTCTGCAGCGCGCACCAGAAACAGGCCAGTTATTAACCATAAAAGTCCAAACACATTTCTGGATCTATTTTCTTTCTTTGTTTTTCATCGAAGCAGTTTTATAAAAATTCGAAAAAATCAAATTCTGCCATTTCGTTCATTAATCCTATTATTAATTAAAGGCATAAGAGAACATTATTTTATATGTTTTCTTACTGTAAATAAATACCCACGAAAAGACAAAACCAACCCAAACCGACTGTCAACGTGCAAAGCGCTCTGGTTCCCCCCAATATGTCCATTTTTTAAAAACGTCTCACCAAACCACACTGGCTTTTTGCAGACTTCACTCTGCTAATGCTAGAATTAATTTTTAAATGAATAAAACCGATCTCAAGCTCAATGACTTATTTGTGAAAACCTGCTTTTTAGAACTTTAATAAACAAATAATAAAACTGAAATCTCTTATTATAAAAAGTTATCAGACCCTTTGCTGCGTCAAGAATGCGACAAATGATTCAGGTGTGTAAAGCTTGTAGAGGTTCCATAACTCAAAGAGGTTCTTACAGAAGCCACTGAAAATAAGGGTCTTGAATACGTTGCCAAATCTTCACCTTGGCATTATTGAGTGTAGACCCGTGTGTTTTAATAGTCTTTCTGCGTGACAACCTAGTGCGCGGTATGAACAGAGGGAATAAGATAATGATTCTCTTTTTCGCATCCAATTTAAATTAGTTAGTTTTTGGTCTATTCATTGGATTGGTTGGAAATATTCCTCGAGTTATTTTGTTGATAGAATATTTAAAACTTTATCCTTGTAAATGAAGTTAGGAATCAATGTTATGGATTTTCAAGCCCTTGACCCAAAGCAGACGATTGCAGCCTGTATCCCTGTCAACCCCATCCAGCAGACCGATACCAGGTTTAGACTGGAGAGATGGTCTTCTGCTGTATAGATTGTTGTAAATGGTCTTCCCTATATTACAAGGCCTTTCAGGTTTGATCCACAAACAAGTGAAATCAGTGATAATTCAGGCAAGGAGGGAATCTAAACCAGACACAACACACAGCACAGAGAGATGTGGGTGGGTACATCGCGGACGCTCGTCTCACTTCTACAGCAACATTTAACAGTCAGTTCCCCACTTGACATGGGCATTCGAAAAAAACCAAGTAGTAGTAGCAGAGTAAAGGTTAAGGAAGTTGAGGCCTTCTCCAGTTAGGAAAAACACCAAAAACAAAAAAAAACGATAAAATAACAGCCAGCGAACATATTACAAATCTAAATAGTCATTTTAAAACTTATCACATTCGTTTAAAAGTTACTGAGGAGAACTCAGAGACTATCAAGAATAAGATAACTCGTGCTAACCAAGGACACCTGTCTATGACTGTTATTGCACACACCTGTGAAGAAACCATTGGACCTCATGAGACATGAATGAGCACTAACCAAACAAAGACAGTGTCATCGCCACACACGGGGTAGCACCACTAAGCAAAGAGAAAGGACAAAACGAAGTCTATTGTTCTTTCCCTTTTCTTTTTAAACGCGTACAGAGTCAGATTTACATCCTCGTTTAAACAAATGCTAAAAAAAAAAGTTCCTCAACACACCTTCCAACAACAAGGTAGAAGGTTCCACCCGGATTCTGACGACCTCCCAATCCTTGTCGTCTGAACATAGGCCACCGATCCCGTAATGCCCAGTAACAGGAACGCGGATGTCCTTTTCATCCGATACCAGCACGCGCACAATATGGAGACGTGAGGGACCACCATCACGCACCGAACCCCGAAGCAGACCGCCCATCTGAACAACCAAAGTGCAAGTGAATACAACCATGCTGGGCGTGTGTTCTTCTGCCCTCCAACCAAACATACCAACACCAGCAAGTACACATACATTCTCTTATCAGATTTGTGTACAAAACACTGATGATCGATTCGATCGATGATGGCCTTGAACGGACTTACACCTGCACATCATATGCCACTTAAAAGCAACAAAACCCCCGACACCCTGCCAGCGTATTGAAGCGGGAAACGAAACACTGAAAGACGGAATGAAGTTATTGTCTCTGGCATTTCAAGTCGCAGCCATTTTACCATCACCACAATCCCTTCAGACCTTTAACTTATAAGCATTGGCTACAGTCATGTGGTCGTTACATTTTTTAAAAATCAAGGAGAGAAGGTACTCAACCCCCTTTTCCAGTACTATATAAGTAAATTAACGTCTTCGAGCCACCCACGTATCTCGATCTCTTCTGCCAAGTGGTTGGTTTGGTCTGTAGCCTGAAGGAAGCTACAATCATGAAGAAAGATTTCATATGTGTCAGTTCAAATACCAATATAAAGACGCCTTACCTTTTCAATTTTAAAAAATATGATGAGTTCGGCAGAAATTAAGATGGAAAGTAATACATTTTATTGCGCCAAATCATTTTAATGAGGTAATCTAAATGAATAAGTCCGTAATTGTAATGTGTAAACTCTATAACTCAATAGAATATTAAACCAAATATAACACAATAAGATATAAAACAATGCTACAAAAGTTAAAGACTCAGTTTGCTTAAATTACCAGTGTTTACACCCTGTAACCAGCTGCAGTCTTTGGAGAATTTTTAACTTCAGTAAACACATCATATGTTCATTTGATTGCAGGGAATTCAGTTTAATGGGGATTTAACGAGTCAATCATATGAAAATTGTTTCAAAGCTTCATATGTAACTTCACATTGCTGCTTTATTTTTTATGATGATGATTGATATGATAAAAAAAAAAAAGTAGATTATTCTGCAAAGGTAGTGGAAGGAAGGGAAACGTTCTCGGATATATCATGAAAGTAGGCGGCTTCAAGAGAACCCTCACACCTGTGGTTTATTTGGGAGGGAAAAGCACAGGTGTCAGTGATTACTAAAAGTAACGGAGCCAACATTTCATTTAGGTGATGGGATCCTCGGTTTATTGTTTCATACTGGTGTCACTATCAGGTGAACTGAGGACACTGTTTTTCTTTTACCTGCGGTTTTTGTTAAAAAGATCTGTGTCTAAAATAATTAATTACGCATGACCTAGATGTAGTCAATAGAAACTAAAAACATTCAATCTGCTTAGCTCTCAAATCAACCTGACAGCGCGCGACGCACTTCTTTCTTGAGAACGTGACTTCACAGTAGTCGTTTGATAGTAGCTATGCTGTCAGGTCCGTGTGAGCAAAAAACAAATAAAACAACATTTACAATGAGTCACATGTATGAGGATAGTAGCTAGAGGATGTTAATACGAATAAGGTCAAAGTCATGTGTTGTTCAAATTCTTGATAATTTCCGGGTGAAAACTTTTGGACGCTCCATTATGGACCAGAGTCATGATTTATTCATCTACTTCATTTAATTACTCACTGCCTGTTTTCACATCTTCTAACTTCTTCCTCTTCGTTGCAGACCCTACCAGCCCGTCCAACCTGCCAGTAGAACCTCTGTTTTCCCTCCTCGCCCATTCACCTGTACGGCCCACAACCCACCGCTGATCACCTGTTTCCCATCCCCAATCAGTCACAGTATTTAAAACCAGCCCAGTTACGTCTGGTCTTCAGGTCCTGGTGCCTTCAGCTGTCTGTTCCTGTCTGTTCTGTTGCTTTTGTGATCTTAATTACAAGTGAACTTTTCTTCTGACCCGTTAAAACCGCACTGGATCAAAACCAGCTGACCAGGCCCATGTAATATTTAAATTGCCCCACTGCCACTTGACAAAATAAATCCTGTCCGAAGGCGGCTTTAGGAAGGTTCGAGCATCACTTTCAAGAAGACGAGAACGATCCAGTTATATTCTGGATAATTCAGGGTCTTGATACTGCCTCGATTCCCTTGAAATTAAAACTGGGTTTCGAGCACTGAGCATGGTTGAAAAGAATGACCTCAAAACGATATCCGTCATTCTCTTTTGGATTGAGCTGTGTAATTTAGTTTGAATGAAAAATAGGTAAAAAATACAAGTTAAAAAACAGATTAATGACTGAGAATTTCTGGTTTTCCTGTTTGTTTTGTTCTCACCACAGGGAGCTCTAAATCTAAATCACTGACCAAAACTGTAGACAGATTAAAATCTGCTGTTGAAACAAACTCATTTAATTTGAAAGGGCAGAGGGGGAATATTCACCTCCCTTGTTTCATAATCTGCACAAGGACGCCTGAGAGTTAAACCCACTCTGCTCTGAACAAGCTGCTACAGTAATCATGGTTAGTGAATTTACATCAGTTGAATTCATGTTTCTTGCTTCCAGTTGCACCGAGGGACAGTTTACACATAAGACTCATGAGCAGAAAAAAATGCTTGACTATGTTTCTGTCCTGCTGCTATGTTGATCTCCATGTTGATGCTTTTCTCACCGTCATCAGTCTTTGGATCCTTTGACAAAACAGCAAAATAAACTGGACACAGGAGATAATGCCAGGCAAGGCCAGCTAGACGGCAGGCACTCGCAAGCAGAGCATAGAACTTATAGATCTGGCGAAGAGGAAAAAATGTTTAAAGTGTCAGTTTTTGTTCATGTGGTTTTATGTGTTTTTCAGCTGAAATAATGTCATGTTGCTGATTAGTTCTGACTAATCCACTGTCAGCAGTTTCATTATTTTCTACTGAAGCTTAAAGCTGCACCTTTTGAACATTTGTTTTACCTTTATAAAGATTATTATGCCAAGAGTAAATGTGTAACTTTTGCAAAGACCGAACCAGGACTGGACTGCACTCCCACAGCTAGCCTTACCTTAGCTAAAGCTAACTTACCAAGTTTTTCCTCTTTCATGTGACTTAAAATGAATTTTCACGCCCCAATATCTTAGTCTTTGAGTTTTGTAATGCCACATGTAAAACAGTGTCTAGAACATAATGGATAAAAGTAACACAGATCTAGAAACTAATCCTGCTAATATAGTTTAGACTTCTTTTAGATTGAGAACAATAACTTATCTGGGTTATCTAGCAATGATAGTACTGCAACTTTTCCTCTGCAGTTCCCCATTTAGAGTATTTTGGCCTCTTTCAGCACATTGTTTTGGTTTTACAGCTCAAACAGCTTCTGTTTTGGTTCATCTGTGTTGTTTACAGCAGCAGCATGAAGCATGCAAACGGCTCCAATGAACCCACAGTATATTATAATATTGGAGTAAAACCTTTTTGTATGCATATATAAGCATGTTGCTGGTGTCTTGCCTCTGGAGTCTTTGGACAGTCAAACTTCTGCCACACCAGGACCCCGAAGTGACTGAAGGAGAGGAGCGCCCCGAACACATAACCTGTTTTACGCTGCAGAGTGCCGCAGACCAACAGAGGATAATACAGGACTGGATAGTAGAAGATGGCGATGATCTTCATGTACTCTGACAAACGAGGGATAACACAGAGGAGTGTGTCATTTATTGACAAAACAGAAGACAACGCTCAGGACGGGCTCATTACTAAACTAGTTTCTGTCTCATTTGCCTTAAACAGAGGCTAGTGTTTTTGATCCATTAAATCACTTCAGTCTTTTCTAAATTTACAAGGTTAGAGGAAAGTTTTACTTCCTTCCAGTTACTACTTATCTTAATATAATGAGTTTAAAAAGCTTCAGGGCAAATAAAAGAAACAGATCACTGTGTGTGATTGTATATTCTGAGACTGCACACAATGTAGGTCTTTAATTAAACATAGACATGTCCTAGGGCGCCCTGGTGGCTCACCTGGTAGAGCGTGTACCACAAAGGATTAATCCGAACCACAGCTGCCCCGGTTTGAATCTGACCTGTGGCCCTTTGCACGACTTCTCTGTCTCTCTCACTGTACCTATCCACATAAAGGCAAAAATGCCCCAAAAAATAACTTAAAAAAAACCACAAATGTCCACCTTTAATTTCCGCTGGAGTATCTCTGCAGAAAGGCAGTGGGTCCGGGGCGATCACCAGCATAGCCAGCTTGCTGAACACCAGTCCAAACACAGCCATGGTCAGGCCCTTTTCCTGAGTCTGGTCCAGGAAGTTGGTCGGACTGTGAAATAAAAACAGGAACGTGTAAGACAAGCCTGCCGTCTGAAGTCCCAATTATCTCTTAGGTGTATTGTGAATTGACCTGAAGATGCTGGAGGATCCTCTTGCAAATCCTTGGCAGAATTTGTTTTTCCTGGAGAGAGCTGCCAGGATCAACATGACCACCAGCTACAGGGGAAGATGAAGTTCATCAGGACTTCAATTAAATCATATCACTGTTTTCCTCTCAAAACTCGGGTGACCTACAACTCAGTCCTGCACTTGAACGCCTCACACACACACACGCAGCACTGGAGCTGATGCTAACAAGCTACATTTTTTACCACCTTTTAACATGTGATTCTGCTCCATGTTACCTTAAGATTTAAAGTGTACAGGGATACAGACTGAACTTAGTTCTTAACAAACTTAACTTTGTTTCCTCTCCTTCCGTCATATCTGTTTTCTTCAATGATTCAATTCCACCACAAAAAGGAAGGGTCTCAGTCAGTGCATGATGGGAAGTCCGCTAATGTTTGTCTGTAAAAACCTAATTTAATGAGTCGACTGAACTATCAGCAGTCCTTTTATTTCAGCTCATCATTTCAAGTCCAAAGACTTCAAGTCAGAACGACTCATGTTTCTAAATTCTGAAATGGTCTAAAAATATTCGTTTAATTAGTCTCAATTGAACTAACATTAAATGAATAAAACTTATATATTTATCTAAAGTTAATAATAAAACACACTCCACTAAATGTCTGCATGATGTTTTACTTTTGAGCGCCTCATATAAAGAGCATTTTTCAGACCGGACTCTTGTTATTTCTGCTCAGCTGCAGTGACCCAGCTGTCACAGTTTATTATCTCCTGAACAAGGAAAATGGCCCGCGTCCCCTCTGTGTACAGTACGAGGGGGTCTCTTGACCGAGTTAAAGTGGCCCTCACTTGTAATTGGGTGAAGGCGAAACGAGGGTAAACATCGTTAAATCTGACATCAGTCTGAAGCGAACACAGCTGATGGTTCATAGAGAAAGCCCCAAAGGATTTGATGGTAGATGCACAAACTTCTACACTCACTGTTTTCCACTAATGTTGCATTTAGAAGGAGGATAACGTTTTGTAAATGTCTTTATACAGCTTTATGTAAATTAATAGATATTTACAATCGGGAAACCTGCAGCCGGTTGCATCAGCTGTTCATAAGTTCAAACTTTCAGCCTGTTTGTATCGCAAGTGTTTGGAGTTTAGCAGTGTTTGCAGTTTTAAGCATAAAACTGGTTGCACAACACAGGCTGGTTACCATGTGGAGACTAGTTACTAAATATTCACTCTCACTAAATGGCAGATGTAACTTAAAATACTGTAAATTAACCGAATTAGCCAATGTTCTGTTAGCATGCTAATATAACCCCTTTAGCCTTGATTATATCATTCTGTTGAGAACATACGTCCTGACGCTTCAAAACGCTGTGTAATAATGACGTAAACGGACGAGACGATTGTTTGTTTTTTCTACTTTTATCAAATCTTTGCTTTTTTTTTTTTTTGCTGAGTAAGAGAAACATGTTTTGTGACGTGGCAGAGCTACGGTGAAGTATTGATTAGGTTTAGATCGTGCTTTGGGTTAAAGCACAGTCACCTGACCCTCCTCCTTGAATGTGAATATATGATGTTTTGGGACATTTGCAGAAACAACTTATGCCGTCATTTTCTTTGGGAGACAGATCTCATGTCTAGGTGAACACTCAAAAGAAAATCTGCCTTTACATTTCAGACGTACAGTCACTTTTTTTTTTTTTTTTCACTTTGGCTTGAGTATACTTACAGATATTGACAGCATGCATACGTGGAAGAGTCTGTCATCTGCTGTTGGGTAACATGGTAAAATAACTCTGTGACAAAAACAAAGAGACAATAAATAAAGCTGAAGTCAGTCACATTCAGAGCAACAAAGCTGCAAATGTGTGAGAAACAACAGAGAAATGAGAATCTTAGAGAGACGCCCTCTGCAAATATCTCTCCATAATTTTCTGTTTTGAATTGACTGTCATTCTTTATTTATTTATTATTATTCAATGGAGTCCGGGTTTCAAAATTATTTCAGGGTTGGACGATTCAATTAAAATTTACTCTCAATTTGTGAACAGGCTCCAGATCTGCTTTCACCTCTGAAACTGTGCGAATGAATCACAATAACAAGTCAAACTAAAAACCAATCCTGCACATACAAAGACTCAGTACTAAATATGTGCAACAGTGAAAATAGGAATCAGATGTTTTTACAGATAACCAGTCAAACCTCCTGCTCTGATCAATCTGAGATGATCTGGGTTTCATACTCACTCTTTGGGTGGTTTGGTTGGCTCTGCGTTGTTGGAGTACCAGTCTGAATAGTCATAGTAGGAATATTCAAAAGGCTCAAATTCAACTTTACTGTGATTCATCGCGGCTGCTCAGTCGAGTCAAACAGGTTGAAGTGGACAAAAAAAAAAAAAAAAAAAGATCCAGAGGAGTCCGGATCCTCGTTCCCTGTCAGGTAACCTCGCTCAGTGATCTGCTGGTGCTGTAACGTGTCGGGACAGTTTGGCCCAAACGCCCCGACACATTCCAGTCCAACCAAGAGCCAAACACAGCAGATTAACAGCTGCTCAGAGGGGAGTGAGAGAGGAGAGAGAGAGAGAGGTTCGACATTACAGTGAATGAGGGAAGAAGTGGAGGAAGAAACTGACCCAAAGTGACCTCTAGTGCTCCTTAAAGTGACAAGTGCTCCTCATTCTCTAAATGTAGTTAATTAAGAAGGTATTTATTCAAGCTATGATTCAAATCTAAGTGATGTTTCTTAATTCTACTATAAACATTCATATGAAAACTGAAATTTCTGATCAATTTAGATATAGACATACAGAAATGTGCAAAAGTTTTAGGCACTTTAGATATTTTAGATCTGTATCCATCACACAAGAGTGAGCCCAAACACACAGTCAGAGTCATACAGAACTATCTGTAGATGGTCTGGCCCCGAGTCCTGATCTCAGCATCGTGGAGTCAGTCTGGGATCATATGAAGAGACAGAAGAGACTGAGACTAAATCTATATTTCCCTGCTGCCTGACTATGATGAAAGAAAGTTTTTCACAGATATTTAAGTCTGTCGTTGCTCAGGTAGTCGAACCTGCTGGCAGTTAATTGCAGAGTTGGTGGTTCAGTCCATTTGTAAAATGCATGGGGGGGGGGGGGGATTTACTTTGCATTAACAAACATAATAAAAGTAACTCTTACAGTCAATGATCCTAATCTACATCATTTAATCGTGTATTTATTTGGATTCTGCTCATATATTTTGCATTTCCTTTTGGCAGCTAAAATGTTGGTGATGAAGTGAGGCACCATCTTTGGTCTGAAGCAGGTTAAAGCGTGACTGTAGCTGTGTGGCGTGTTCATGTCGCAATAAAAGCACTCTGTGATCTCTGGTTAAGTAATGTCATTTTTTGCGCTGAAACGTGGCGTTAACCTGTTTGCCTCCCTCTGCCTGTTACTCAAGAGACTAATCTCATAATAAGATGAAAATCTCTCGTTTAAACAGAGGCGACCTTTGTGTGAGAAGAGATTAGGAAAGGCCAAAATGAGAATGTTGATCATTTGACACGTGAGGTAAAGCCTTAGTTCAGGAGCTCGTGTTTTATTTCTATAACATGAGAATAAGACAGAAAACATGAGATGAGCTGCTGCAGAGTCACTGGCCAGAGGACGGACACAGATCACAGACCTACAACTTCACCAGACTGGAGCATAAAGATGGACTCAGTGATCCAGTTAGCTCTTCCCGTGCTCGTCTTGTGCATCATGATGAATATCTAAAGGCTTATTTTCAGCCACTGGAGTCATTACTCGCAGCTGGAAGTGACACACTTTGCTGTGAAATCAGACGGATCTCCTTTGGCAGTTCAAAGTTTCTTAATCTGGATCAGTGAGCTCGCTCATATGACGGTGAGCGCACAGGGGCCAGTTGATCTGACCCCAGGATTTTCTGACTGCGTGGGTGTAGGAGGGCCACACACAGGACCCACGCTGCCCGACTGCTGCTATTTCAAAATAAAAGGCCACCACTGATGTGCTGGATGTTATTCTTAGCTTCTTAAACTCCAGAGTTAAAGCTAAATTTAAGTCGCTAACAGAAGTGCTTGATGTCTGTATTACCTGCAGCAGGCGTGCAGCTCTGCTCCTCTGTTGTGGCTCTCTGATGGTTTTCATGTGTTTTGAATCTGACGGTGAAGTAATACTGAGTGACGTCTCTTATCAAGCTGACATTTGGTTGAGGTGCCACCACTAACTTCAACCACAAATGTCTGCTTTCACATCTCTTTTCAAAGTCCCATTATTTTGAAAGAACTGTAACATAGTCACTGTACAGGTTTCAGTGTAGAGGCACCGTGTGTGCTACAGATACTTTCCTCTCAGCCGATGAGTCACTGCATCTTACACATTAAGTGGCACATTAATCGTATCGTTATGTATAAGTATGTATGTATTTATTATGTTTATTTGATCCGGACGAACAACATGTACTTCCTGTTCCATGCTGTGAAGTGATCCAAGCAATTTTCTTTTTAAATTCAGACCAGAATATTAATGAATATTTAACAATGGAAGCAGGTTTGTGGCAACAAAGAACAACATCAGTGCTGTTTCCCATTTAAACCATCATCATCCACTATAACTATACAGCTCTTTATCTCTATCTCTCTCTCTCTCCCTTTTTCTTTTTTACCTAACAGGCTCTTAACTCCACGTCTGTCTGTAATTGGAATATCTGCAGTAAGCATAAGCATTGGCCGTCTCCAAACCGCCCATTGTTCTGACAATGCAACCGAACAAAAGGGAAAAACTGTAACTCACACTGAAGGGACTTTACTCCTGTCTACGTTTTATACTTAGGACTCATTATGTTTGTGTGTGTGTGTGTGTGTGTGTGTGTGTGTGTGTATGTGTGTGTGTGTGTGTACATGTAGTTCTATTGTTGTGAGGACAAACTTTGGTTTGAAACCATCGACGTGAGGACAAGGGGTTTTTTGAGGGTTGAGACTTGGTTTTAGGGTTAGGGTCAGAATTAGGTTTAGGTTAAGGTTAGAGTAAGGGGCTAGGGGATGCATTATGTCAATGAGTGTCCGCACAGCAAACGTAAGACTAAACAAAGGGCAGAGTGTGTGGTAAAGCAGACAGAGGAGGGCGCCCTTTGTTTCTCTGCAGCACAGAAGGTCCAGGTCTCGGTAGACTCTGTTTAATCTACAGTATGTGTCGTAGCTCACAAAGAATATGTCTAAAGGCTACGTCATCTCTTGTGAGGCGTGGCGGTCATGAAAACAGAATCAAAAACCACTTTCAAGCAATTTTTTTTACTTTATCAAGGCATGACAACATGAATGTAACAGTGACATTAATGACAGCAGGGATATACAGTCCATCTATCACCAAACAAATAAAGATCTGCACAAAAAAACATAGAGAAACACTAGAGGAGGAACTGTGATCGTGAGTCACTTCAGACACAAATCAAAGTCTAAATATGATACAAATAGACAGCAAGCACGATGATAAGAAGTGAATTGCATTTTAATTTTCAGAACGACCTGATGTTGAGACAACAAATAATAAAGTGGCCTTTGAGAAAATAACATCACGCAGAATCTCAGATGTGTATACACAGATACAAAGCAAGTGTGTGTGTGTGTGTGAAATGTCGTTCCTTTCAAACCAGGAGACGTGATTGTGGATGACTGCATGGGTTTCTGTGTGACAGTCTCAGTTTTTGAACATGTCGCACAGCAGTTTCTCCATGGGAGTGTTTCCGATGGTCCTGTGGAAGAACAGCAGCTCTATCCGCTCCGAGTTCACAAAGCGCAGAGACGGAAGAAGAAGAAGCAGCTTTCCGAACCTAAACACACACAAAAAATAAAATAGAATCAACTTCTTGCATGAAACAGGGAACAGTACAGTATGTGCAAACAATTTGTTGCCATCTCATCATTTATACAACAAGGATGTGACAGTTCAGGAAGTCTCAAGTCTTTGAGGGCAAGTCTGAGCCAAGGCACAATAAACAAACTGCAAGTCAACATGCAAGACTGACCATTACAAACAGCTTAAAACTATTAATATTGTTTTAAGAATAGCACAGGCATGATGATTTATTTAGTTGTGAGGCAATGGCCAATTAAAAACCTGATGTTGAGTCACATTGAAGCTACACGGATGTGTGAGACACAGACACAAGTTTTGTTTTTTGTAAATTCAATTTTGCAATAAGTAAATCTGTAAAAACAATAATTAGCTACAACTGACTGGAAATCAGTGAGAGAAAATGAATTAAAGGTACACTGCATGACTTTTCTGTGGTGCTCCCAAATCCCAAATTATTAACTCCAACATTGAGGGACTTTATCTTTAAACTGGTGAAGCTGAGACAAAATACATGATTTGCTTTGATAAGTAATTTGATAATACAGAAAATGAACGGGACTTTGCATTATTATTTGCATGTTTTGGGCTCCCTCTGGTGGCCGTGGGTAAGTTTGGTTTTTGCCTTGTGTTCAGAATATAAAACATCAGATCATTTAAGCCCTTTAAGATCCAAACGTTAGACTTTAAAAGGAGAAATTAATTGTAGAAGAGGAAACAAAGAAACTAATTTCTACTGCAACAGTTGAAAGAAAAACGAGGCTGTTAATGAAAGAAAATCATTGTTGAGGAGGCAGAAATCAGCTCCTCACAGAGCAGGCTGCCGATTAATGAGATTTAACAGCGTAAAAGAATTTAAAGGTGTTTTTTTTTTGTTTTTTTTTTAATGTCCATGTAGCACTGAGGCATGAGACAGGATGTTACCTGGCTGGTTGACTGGGGTAGTGTGAGCGGATGTGTTGTCCCAGCATCACTTGAGACTGATCCTGCAGGTTCTCCACTTGTTCTGGATCTTTCAAACCACGAGTCTCTGTGGAGAAGAAAATCCACATGAGCCACACAAACACCGTTGCAGACTGAGAAAAACACCCGTGTCATCACTTACACTTATTCATACTGACAGATTCATTATCCAAATATTACAAAAAGGAGACGATACTAATAAGAATAAAGTGTCACTAAGTATAAATGTTATAACTGATAAGTTATAATGTGTTATAGTTATCACACACAACCCAGTTACACAGTATTGTGACATTATTTTCACTGTATAAATAATAATAATGATATAATATAAATTTCAAGACATTTCTCAAAGTTAAAGATGAAATTGAAGTTTGTATATATTTTGTGTAGAAATCTGGGAGTTAAGCCTCAGGGTGGCACTAGAGGAGAGAGCATGGAGTAAAGGGTTCATCCTCTGAGAAGAGCGTGGTCGGTCTCCCACATTCAATTCTGATATTGATATTTTTGATATTTCCAGGGGATAACTGAAATCATAATAAATCGTCTCCTGTGGCGATGGTAAGTTCCTCACCTGGCTTGAAGAGCACGATGGCCTTGAGGCAGGCGAACTCTGTGGGGTCGACGGCGATGGCCTTGAAGCGGGTGAAGACCTCCTGCAGGAGGCGCAGGTCCAGGCTGGTGTAGCTGGTCTTTCCCTGCATGCCGGGGCAAAGGTCCGGCAGAGAGAGCAGCGGGCAGCTGTCCAGCGGCAGAGACCACTGGATGGCACAGAGCAGGAAGAGCTCGCTCCACGCCTCCTCCAGCAGGATCACCTGGTGGAGAAGGAGAACGGTGAAAATCCAACAGAGATGTTTCAAGAAATATGGAAGTTCATTGCTGCCAGAAAAATATATAACCATGATGAGTTATCACATAATTATCACCCAGTAACCCAGAATTATGATTTAGTCATTTAGATTTCGTAGATAAAATAATACTTATCTCAAAATTATCTCATGACTGTGATGTACTAAGTCACAAATATGAGATCATGAGTTTTTATTTAAATCTTCTTTACAACCTTCCCTTCAACTTTTTATTTTCCTGCAACTTTGTATAACTTCATCAAAGATTTTAAATCACTTTTCAGATCAGTGAATTATTTTTAGATTTTAGATTAGAAATGTGGATCATCAACGACACTGCTGCACATGTGATGTATCAATTTCAATAAATCATTTCCACAATTACAGTATTTTGAACCTTCAAAACAAAATGAAATATGCACTTGTTGTGTTTTACTTTTACTTGGAAAACAGACCACAGTGAAAACATCATGTACCTGGTCTCTGAAGGGCAGGTTGGAAAACACGGGCAGGTTCTTGGCCCACTTCACCGACATGAAGAGCAGCCTCGCCGAGGTCTCGTACACGTTCTCGGAGCTGGACGGGTACAGAGCCATGTGATACTCCGAGGACGCTCTCTCCGGCTCGTTGCTGGTTACGTCGATGTTTTCATCAACTGAGACAGAAAAGATGAGTTTAGAATCAGGTGCAGGGAACCCACTTTAGCTCAGTTTATGTTCTTCTACTGGAACTAACCTGTATAAAAAAATCATAGTGAAAATAACTGACACAGACTATAAACTACATCGTCCCTGGTTGTAATCTGGCTAAAGATATTTCTGGTACCTCCTTTCTCTCTACCCTCATTTCCTGTCATCTCTCTCCTATTCACTTATAAATGCTCTCACAAAATATTAAAAATAACTAGCTTATAGCTTAGCTTAGCTTCTGGTCTCAGGTCAGTCTCAGATTACCAGAGTTCAATCACGTCAAATCTTAAAGATTTCGTGTATGAACCAGGTTCAGGTCTCACTTTTTGGACTCGTGCAGAACTCTAGTTTATACATGCTGACATGTTAGCTTGTTAGCGTGTTAACATGCTAACACTAACTTGCTGAATGCTAGGAGGCGTGTTAATGTGAGGGGGCGTGGCTACGAAGTGGGGCACTCTACAAGTGTGGGCAACAAATCTGGGGTTAGTTTCACTAAAGTTGCACATTAAGTTTGCAGCAACATTTTTGGTTGAGTCTGTCTGAGCGTAATTCTCCTGCAGCAGCTTCTGTCTCAAATAACAAACCCTGCTCACCGTCCTCGGGCTCCAGCTTGGCGCAGGTTTCAGCCGTCATGAGGCTGGCCATGAAGCGGTGGTTGTTCTGGGGACTGACGCAGCGCTGGGGGGCGACAGAGGAGGTGATGGACATGGAGGAGGTGATGTGGGGCCACGTGATGACGGAGCCGCCGGAGGAGGAGGAAGAGGAGGAGGAGGAGGAGGAAGAAGAGCAGGTGGGCTCCCGTGTGGTGGCCAAGTGCTCCTTCTCAGGGTCCACGTCGATGGAGTCCAGACGGACCTGAGCTGTGCTGCGGGGCTGCCGCTCGTTCTGCACCGCTGCAGGAAGAAGGTGAAAGGTCAGACCACCTGTTGTCTGAGGAGAAACACACTGAGAGCGAATGTTTCTCGCATTTGAAACACATTTCCACACACTCACCGTCCTTGTTCATGCCCGCCTGCAGGCACTTCTTCAGCCGACATGCCTGGCACTGGTTGCGATGAGCTTTGTCCACCGGACACATGCCTGTACCGGCCTGGCACCTGTAAACACACAGGCAAGCTTTTAAAGGGAGAGTTCACTCAAAACAAACCCAAACACTGAGTATCTCTTTTGTTTTCATGGTGCTTTAAAATATTGAAAAAGACCATGAAACTTGGGTTTAAACATGATTTAAAAAAATACAAATTTATGATAAAATGTATGAAATTCAAGCTTTTTTATTTGAAAATAAAAGTTGTCTGTCTGAATCCACATGGGAAATTTGGGACGAAAGGAGGTGAAAATTTCTTATATTCACGCTAACGACACATTCTGTGATCCAAATGAAAACAAAATAAAAGTTTTGGCTCTTACTTTTAGTCACAAACTGATTCACAGATGACACAATAAAAAAATGTATAAAAAGAATAAAAAGTTAATTATATTTTGTGGCGCTTTAAAAGGTTTGTCTCCATCAGTATACATGTTAATATTCACATAAAAGAAACATTTTCACTTATGAAAATATATGAATTTATAGGTGTACTCACATAAATTCAGTATATTATATTATTCAGTATAAAAAATATATAAAAAATAAAAAGTAAAGTTACGAATTGTGTAATTTTTGACCGTACAATATTACAGGTATATTCACATATCATCTTACAGCCTGTTTATAAGCATAAACTAACAAAAACATTAATTTAGTGATAACAGGCTTCAAGCTTTTAAATGCTATTTACTTTGGATCATTAAAAAGGGATTATTATGTGTTTGATATTATTCATATAAGTTGTTTAAAGTTAATGGCTGAGAGAATTTGTTGGATAAAAAGCTGAATCTTAATTTCCCAAAATGCACCTCATGTAGGTTTAATGGGATGGGAACATCTCATGATGAATTTTGGTATCTGAAGATTTTAAGTAAGTAAAATGGTGGTCCAGCAGGAGAGTTGGAGCTTTCACTTGCCTGTAAATGAGCCTCCTCCTCACGCTGCGTTTGAAGAAGCCGCTGCAGCCGTTGCAGGCGTAGATGCCGTAGTGTTTCCCGCTGCTGGTGTCTCCGCACACTTTGCAGACCAGAGCCGGGCTCAGAGCTTTTCCCGGGGCTGGACTCTTGGCTGTGAGTCAGACACACACACACACACACACACACACACACACACACAGGGCAGGTCGGTTAGTGAGTGCCATTCATTTTTAGTCTGGTATTGTTTCATACATGTGCCTGCCATCTGCACTGTCAGCTCAGGCTGCATGTGGCTCCACGGTCTGACAAAGCACACGAGTCAATATTGCAACAGCCGTTTAGGTCTGAAAATCTCATTTAGTGGATGATTATGAAAATAAAACAAAAAAATGGCTGGAGGCAGATCAACAACTAAAACAAATGATGCAGCGATACTGGAATTAATCCAAATAAACCCATTAATCATAAATAAATTCAGATTGCTCACAGTTAGATAATAAATATGTATTTTGACCTTTTTCTGCATTAATCAAGTCTTATTTGTATTTAAACAAAGCAGTTGTGTGAGCGTGGAGTCACCGTTTCTTTGTTTTTATCTTATTGAAAATAGGTTTATGTGCATATTTAAGACCTTTCAGTTTTACTTTGTGGTTGTCATGGTGTTAAAGAAGAATTTGTTACCACACAGATGGTTTTCAGTTAAATATTAATAAGATAAAAAACACAAAACAGTTTTGTATCTCGAACAGAAACTTATATATCATTAAAAAAAAAAATCAAAAAGCTCCATAACTCATTTTGACTTGTAACTTTTTTCAAGGCCGAGCTTGTGTCCCATGTTTTAGGCTTCACCTGTTGCTGCTGGTGGTGCATGTGGAGCTCTTACCTCCTCTGCTGTCATCAGTCCCGCCGCTGGCAGACGACTCAGTGGGGGAAGAGGACGGCAGCATGGGGATCTTCAACAGGTGATCCTCCATCATTTTTCCACTGAAAATGTCTCCTCGATCGGTGACGGCTGGAGATGAGAAACTTTGTTGTAAAGTATTCGTCCTTTTCAAAAGATACAACGTCCGAAGTTCAAGTTCCTTTTGAGTTCTGTGAAAAGTTGAGCTGTGGAGCTGTAAGGGGTCTCCGGTGGTCCCCGGTGGACAGATGGCGGGTTGAGCCTCTACTGTGCTGCAGGCTCTGGTGCGGAGATGCAGATGGGCTGGGGTCCTGCCATGAGCTCGGGGCTGACACTTGTTGCACGTCAACAGGTTGTGTGTCCTCCCTCTGGCCGTCGGGGTCAGTCACTGTCTGTGGGTGCTCCTCGGTGGCAGCTCCTCAAAAGGGAGTCCAGGGGGTGGAGGGGGAGGATTAGTCCCAAGCGCTGTGTAAGCAGCATGCCTATTTGTCATCCTCTTAATCTTTACTGTTCATCTACTGGATCAATCAGTCACATTGCCAGAACGTTGGTGCTGCTCGGACTTGGGGATCTTCATCGAGTCTGCAAACAACAACAGGAAAAAAAAAAGAGAAAAGAAATAACAGTGATGACTCTTAAAGCTCTCTAGTGGAAGAGCTGTAACTTTAGACCAGTTCCCATCCTGCTCCATCTCCCTCCGTCTCCTCTGTCCACGAGGGCATCCATCAGTCAACACTCCTCTTCGGTATCTGCATTTAAAGGAATGATTACATGAGGCGCACATTATTATATTTACCAGCCTCTTCGATTTGTATTTCCCCTCCTTTTGCCTCCTTTTCGCCTCCGAATTCCAGCTCCATTTCCCCCCAGCCGTATATTTGATCTGTATGATTGCCTCCCATTCATAATGACTCCCAGTGTTTGCTGAGGAGCTGCTTATTAACTCCTACTTTGCTCTTTTTTGACAAACTGGAGATCACCCGCTTCCCTCTCCTCCGACAGAGGAAAAAGGTCACAGAGGGAATAATAGAGTTTTGAATGGCTGATGTTTTGGCTGGGGCTCATTTGGCTAATTCATGACGGTCTCCCATTTATTATAAAGAAGCTCGGATCATCATACATGTGGTTTTTACATAGGGAGCAGCTGCCAAGAACCAGGGAGAGAAATATGAAACATGCAGCTTTGTAATCACATTTGAATGAAAATGACTTGTTGTTTACTAAAATGTCAGACAATCTGCAGCTAAAAAGCACTGCACATTATTGCTATGATTAAAACAAGACCAAACAAACAAAGAGAAACAAGCCATTAAAAACCCTCTTTCCTAGCAATGATTGTGAAAATCAAATTGGAGAAAAGTCACAAGAGGATCAACTGTAAAAGTCAAAAAATATCCAGCTCTAAAATTCAAAGCAGGTGTCGAGCTACGCTTCAGTTTGTAGTGACGGTACGATCATCGCCTGACGGTCCAACGCTCGTGCAACTTTCTGCCCGTTTTCATCATTTGTCTCTTCACACAGTTGAGTGGTTCAAGTGAATGAATCTTAATGGGAAGAGGACGCGAGCTGCCGTGGTTCTGACATCTGCCCGCTGGCATCTGCACCGACTCTTTGTTTGTTTTTTACTGTTTGCTGTTTGTTGTCTGTGGCTCGGGACACGTGTCAGTAACTGCACTAATGGCTGATTTCACATCAGACATACGAGCACTTGCATTACTTGATGTTTACGTCACTGTGGGGGCAGGTGACCGAGCTGAAACCACAACATCTGACATGTTATCGCCCCGTAGATCTGCATCTAACAGACACACAGCAACATTTACATTCCTGTTTTTGGCCTCACCATTGTTTTTGTTTTGTCTCCACAGACTCCTGTACAGTGTGTCTCTTTAACGTCTACGTCTACACCAGCTAATCACTAACTCTGAAAACCAGAAAAACCAGAACAATGAGCAAACAGACAAATAAAGGCAGCAGAGCTGATCTGCATCTGCATCTGAATCTGCATCTGAATCAGAATCAGAATCAGAATCAGAATCATAATCAGAATCAGGTTTGTTGCCAAGTAGGTTTTCACATACGAAGAATTTGCTTTGGGTTTTTTGGTGCATAACATTAAACATAGTAAGAAGAAAAAATACAAAACAAACATAAAACAAAAGCAAGTACTGCAAGCCAGATGGCTTAAATATAAATATATATTTTTTCAATTAAATATTTATGATAAAAATGTGAAAAAACATTATAAAAATATAAATATGATACAAATATGTACAGTTGGTGAATATGTCTGTGGGTTTGGACAGATCCAGTTAACCCAACACTGAGGAGACACATTTAAAATGCAACTGTATTCAAATAAAATACAACTTTAAAATTAAAACAAAAAAATGCAACAAAAAAAAACCCCAAAAACTTTACAGACTTTTTCTGTTGACTTGTCAAAGTTTCTTTTGGTCGGGGGTTAGTGAGGGAATTTGAACCTCTGACATCAGTAAACACAACATGACATATCACTTTTTAAGTAGCTATGTTAGCAACTTATTAACACGTGCATCCGTCTTTTAGTTCTGTTTCTCTACAAACTCCTGAGGGACATCTCCGGCTCTGTAGCTGCTAAACGCTCCGCTGTGTTCACCAGCTGGTCTCTGACTGTGTGTGTGTGTGTGTGTGTGTGTGTGTCTGCTGATGAGCAGGTCGTGGACAATGGGTTTATTAGAGCTTTTTCTCTGAGAGTGAAACAAAAATAGTAAAGTGTGGTCAATCACAGCTGCTATAAATCCTGGCTACAGCCCAAATGAGCAGCATTTTATACATTTGATCCATTATTAATACAAAAAATATAGATTACTGCAACTCAGAGTCCAAGGCAGAGTCAATTAATTTATGTTGAACAATTGGTTATTTTATTTATTTTATTATCTGTATAATCTGCAAAAACTTCAAACAACTCTTTCTAACCGTTTCATGTTAAACTCTAAGTAGAAAATGTGCTTGAAGAGCAAAATTAATGTCGATGTCAGCGAGTTTCAGATCCACAATAACAAGGCCCGGCCATAATTGGAAAAACAAAGTGGAGAGCAGTTAAGTAGATTAGAGTTTGACCACATTTTGTCTGCCCGGGCACCAGCCGCAGTCACCAGGAGACCGAGGGGGGAAAGAGACACAATTAGCTCAAAAGATTAAAAGAGCAGTGAAGACACACTTCTTGTGGGCATCTTTAGCCATATGGAGGCTACTCTCTTCATCCTTGGCCAACACACTGTTGACCTTTGTAAGATTTACCAGTTAATTAGTCTTCTCAGGTCGGGCTCTCTGCGCGAGTTCACCCAATTACACGCCGATTACCGATGTGGATGTGGAGGTTTTTTTGGGGTTTTTTTTTTTGTTTTCCTATAAGAGAAGCTGAGATCAAGACTGACGGAAAATAATTTGATCTCCTTCTGCTTTTTCTACCGTAGACAAACAAAATGAATGTCCTGCCTCTGTTCACCGTTACAGACCTCCACAAAAAAACAAAGAGTGGAGGTGTTGGAGGTTGGTGATTACATGTGTCCTTTTAAAGGAGCTATATGTAAGTTTTCTCTTACAAGACAAGAGGTTTGATGCTCTCTGAGCAGCGCTACGTCTCCGGTGCAGACTGGAGGCTAAGAGATGGAAACTAGAAATTTGCTCAAACACATACATGCCGAACATTGAACCCGGGTTTTGATGCACTCACACGTTTTTATATCGTAGTGGTGAGGAAGCAATATTTTATTTTGACTGCATTTCTCATACTTTGAATCAACACCAAACATCTTCAACATTTCAATTGTTTATTTTACTTTAATGTTTTTCTATAATAATGGTGATAATATTTAACTGGGGTTGTACTGAGAATTAAAACAGATGGCGGTGCTACCTGACCGTCTGTAGCTGACACCTTAGGAACTGTCTTTTTGTCTTTCAAGGGTTACAAAACCTCAGAAACAGCATTTAGACCCGTCCATGATTTAGACCAAAACCACCTAACCGACCAGTATCTGACTCACCTTCTCTTCATATATTATGCAGGTTTAATTTACTTATGCTGGTGCTTCCTTTTAATATCTTATGAGCAAAAGGAGCTCATGAGTGATAGGATTATTGCTTTATTATTTATTGAAATCATGTGTTATCCATTCAAATAATATGTGCTACGAAATAAGGGCTTTGTTTGGCAAAGCCTCAATTATTAAGCTCAGGTATAATTACTAAAGAGTAATTAAAGAAGTGCTTCACAAAAGATCTTCCTCTTAAACAGCCGACCAATTTTCAACCTTCAGTATTGACAAACAGTCTTTGGTTGGCAAAGACCATCTCACTGCTTTCATCACTTATATGGAAATGGTTGTAATTTACTTTAAGTGCCTTGCACACAACATTATATGTGATCTGCATCTTATTTTTTTTTAGTTCATTAGAAATGTTATTAGGTCCCAAAAACCGGTCTGTGGCCCAACTTTTCAACAGATTTCATTTTAATTTTCATGCATCTATATGTTTATACTTTGCTTATTTCCTATTAAGCACCTGAAAAACAAGCAAATAGGATAAAAATATTATCAAAAAGAAAAAGGAGAGATTGTCCGCACACTGAAAGTTTTGTTGATGCAACTTTTCGACACTAAAAATTCAAGTAAAAAAAATGAAGAAAACCAAATTATTGTCTGTTGGTGTTTGCAGGCCTCGATGTTCACTCTATCCAACTTTGTTCTTTCTTTCTTTTTTTACAAAAACTATTTTTTTTATAATTTCACTGAGCGAGTAAAAAGAAGACCAACATGCACCGGACTCCGTCTTGTATAAAAGTGACACCTGCTGCAGGAGCGTGAAGCTGTTGAGCTGCAGATCAGATCTGCTCTCTATGTTTAGAAGATGACTCTGCCGTTGAGATGAGTGGCTGCAGCCTGCTGTCCCGGGCCAATCGCAGCATTAAAACAGTTTACATAATAATAATAAGCTACGCAGTGACACCATCAAGTTTTAGGTGGAGACTTGCTTACACGAGCAGGCCATAGATTATGCCAAGACAAATAGATTAGCTCGGGAGCAGCCTAATATTAGGATTCAAAGAATGATTAGAGGAGCCGTGTTATGTAATGACATTAATGAGTCTCTGCGATGCTTCATGTGAGAGTCTGAAAACAGGTCTAATGGGACGGCACAAACCTCCATCAACAGTTCTACGTCTGATTTTTTTTTACCCAGATTTCTACGATTTTACAGAATGTAGAAAATTAGTGACACTTAAGATCACAAATTTCAGACTGCAGTCACACCAAAGGACGATAAATCGATCTTTACACTGAGTCTGATCTGTCCACAAATGTCTTCTTTTGTCTTCACCCTCTGTGATGCATCTAGCCAACAAAGGTGTGTTGTGCTGAAACAGTTAGTTAA